AGAGTTCAAAGGCCTCCATTCTTTGGCTCTCAGCCTTCCTTATGGTCCAACTTTCACAGCCGTTCATTGCAACTGGGAAGACCATAGCCTTGACTATACACACTTTTGTTGGCAGGGTTTGATTGGGGTGCTCTAATCAAAATGTACATTGTTGTACAAAACACAATCTTAACATTTACAAATCAAGACTTTGTGCATTCCACAATTCATTTTAAAGCCACAAGAAGCTGGAAACCTATCAGTCTGAGAGAGGGCCCTGAGTAAGGTCATTCAATCTTTTACAGTCCAGCAATTATCAAGCATATATGCCATTGCCAAACATAATGTGCCAACTCACCCCTTGTTAGATTCAAAAAGCAGTTTATGTTGATAATAACTGTATAGTTTCATAATAAGGCAGCCTTTTGGAAGAGAGAACTTACCAATCAGGGGGATAATAATTTTTTTTTAAAAAAGTCTTACGAAACCTCTGGTTTCCTAATTCCGGTCCCCTCATTTGAAAACTTCAGAAATCAGAACACTGCATTTTGATACATCTTTAAGTTACAGCCAATACTTTTGATATTAAGGTAAAGGAAAGGTTCCCCTCGCACATATGTGCTAGTCGTTTCTGACTCTAGGGGGCAATGCTCATCAGTTCAAAGCTGAAGAGCCACCGCTGTCCGAAGACGTCTCCGTGGCCATGTGGCCGGCATGACTAAACACCAAAGGTGCACGGAGCGCTGTTACCTTCCCACCAAAGGTGGTCCCTATTTTTCTGCTTTCATTTTTTACCTGCTTTCGAACTGCTAGGTTGGGAGAAGCTGAGACAAGCAACGGGAGCTCACTCTGTTACGCGGCGCTAGGGATTCGAACTGATGAACTGTCGACCTTTCTGATCAACAAGCTCAGCATCTTAGCCCCTGAGCCACTGCGCCCCGCATGCTTTGATATACCCAAAATTTAAACATCTCCCCTGGGGTGCAAGTCTCGCGAGAAATAGGGTGTTAAAAATTTATGCACATGCTCTTACCGAGATACGAAACACCTTCCTCGGGGGTAATGGTTCCGTACTTAACCATCATCTTGACAAAATCTATGAGAGTTTTCATGATTGTAATCAGGGTTTCCTTTTCCTTGACTTCTTTCTCTGCGTGAAGAGCAAACAGATTCATGGTCTCTTGGAAATGAGGGTACTGTGATTGTTTTTTAAAAATTATTATTATCATTTATTTTATTTTAAAACAAACAATCCATCTTCCATTAAAACAGTGTGTCGTCTGGGTAAAAATACCTTGTGCAAATCACATTTAGGATTTACAACCATACTCATTATTTATCTGCTCGTGACTTAATACTGATATTACATAATACAGTACAATAATACAACACAATAGCAGAGTTGGAAGGGACCTTGGAGGTCTTCTAGTCCAACTCCCTGCCTAGGCAGGAGACCATACACCACTTCAGATAGATGGTTATCCAACATCTTCTTAAAGACTTCTAGTGTTGGAGCATTCACAACTTCTGGAGGCAAGTCGTTCCACTGATTAATTGTTCTGACTGTCAGGAAATTTCTCTTTAGTTCTAGGTTGCTTCTCTCCTTGATTAGTTTCCCTCCATGGCTTCTTGTCCTAGACATACCCAGTTCCTGCAACCGTTCTTCATATGTTTTAGATATGTTATATTTTACATAACGTATCTGATACTATAACAATCCTCTTCTTCAATGATTTAATTCTATTGATATATTTTTTGACACAGGGGTGTCAAAAACTTGATTTCATTGAGGGCCGTATCAGGGTTGTGTTTGACCTTCGGGGTGCCAAGTGGGCATGGCCAGGGTGGACATGGCTAGTTCAATGTCACTCATGTCAGGGCCGCCTGTGGCTGCTCGAGTGCTCTGCCAGCGAAACTGGAGCTTCATTTTCGCTGGCAGACTGCCCCAGGAGGCTGTCACAGCTGAAAACGGAGGCCCTCCCGACCTCTGTTTCTGCTGTCAGAGCAGAGGTGGGTTCCTACCGGTTCGCACCTATTTGGTAGAACCGGTTCGTCAAATCTACCGAACCAGTTAGAAGAGGTTCCACCAGTGGACCCGGAAAGCAGGCCACACCTACAGAAGAGGTTCCAAAAATTTTTGAAACCCACCACTGACACACACACACTCTCACACTCACACAGAGAGAGAAAGAGAAAGAGGAAGAAAGGAAGAAATAAATAAATAAAAACAGAAAAAAAGAAAGAAAAGGTGAGAGAGAGATAAAAGAAAAAAAGGAGAAAGAGACAGAGAGACAAAAAGAAGGGGAGAGAGAGAGAGACAGAGAGACAAAGAGACAGAGANCAGCCCCTGAGATATTGGAAGACTGCTATCCTGTCTCCCCTTGTCCTTCTTTTCATTAAACTAGACCTACCCAGTTCCTGCAACTTTTCTTCGTATGTTGTAGCCTCCAGTCCCCTAATCCTCTTTGTTCCTCTTCTCTGCACTCTTTCTAGAGTCTCCACATCTTTTTTACATCGTGGCGACCAAAACAGGATGCAGAATTCCAAGGGTGGCCCTAACCAAGGCCTTATAAAATGGTATTAACACTTCACGCGATCTTGATTCTGTCTCTACTCTTTTAACCTTCCTGATGCAGAATAGAATAACAAAGTTGGAAGGGACCTTGGAGGTCTTCTAGTCCAACCCCTGGCTTAGGCAGGAAACCCTACACAACTTCAGACAAATGGGTTATCCAAACTTTAAAACTTCTGAGTGTTGGAGCTTTTTCAACTTCTGGAGGCAAGTACACCCTTCACAACCAGCCTTGGAATGCATGGTTGGAGAATAGCTTGACTCCCTCTTCTTCGTGGCAGCCCCCGAGATATTGGAAGACTGCTATCATCTTGCTTTCTCTGGTTCGCTTGGAAGGAATTCCCACTCGCTGGAATATGTCTGATTTCAAGCTGAATGTGCCCATCCTTCTGAGGAATGATAGCTTTAACCTAGAAATAACCATAACAACATTTTTCTTCTTCCCTGAATCGCATCGATTCAAAGGAGGAGCAGCAACAGTGTCTTATTCCTCTCTGTTCAGAAATAGCGCATTCCTTCCACGTAAATGGATCCAAAGAAGGAAGTTTAAATCTTCTTCACTTGTCACTGTCATTTAGGAACAAAACTAGAGTTTTTGTGGAATTCAGTCAGCCACACAAAAAACATCTGATATCCCCACCATAAAGAGCTATCTATCCAAGGATGAATAGGGATGCAGTGGCTCAGTGGCTGCTGATCTTATCGGTCAGAAAGGTTGGCAGTTCGGCGCTTTGAATCCCTAGCGCCGCATAACGGAGTGAGCTCCCGTGACTTGTCCCAGCTTCTGCCAACCTAGCAGTTCGAAAGCACGTAAAAAATGCAAGTAGGAAAATAGGAACCACCTTTGGTGGGAAGGGAACAGCGTTACTTCTCCCAGCTTCTGCCAAGCTAGCAGTTCGAAAGCA